TATTTAATAATGTGGTTATTATTCACTTAAAATTTATTATTTCTATTTATTTTAATATTAAATAGAAAATTTACTATTACTATTGTCTTTAACTTTTTTTGAAATAACCTAACAACAAAATTTTTTTTTTATGATTGGCAAGTGATTTAAAAGAATTATTTTATCCTCGCCGATCATTATATAAAATCACATGGCTACACTCTACTCTTGAATTAAAAGTTAAAAAAAAATTTACATTGATATTATTTCAGATCAGATAATATAGTGGAACAAAAAGTGAGAGTAGGAATTAATGATGTATGACGAAACTTTTGATTTTAGTCATTGACGTAACTAAAGTATTGACTAAAGGTAGTTTCTCACCAGGGCCATTTTGACTATTTGACTAAAGTAAAAGCCCTTGATATAAGTAAAACCACTTGAAATAATTAAAACATTTGACTTAAATAAAAACACTTGATACAAGCAGCAATAATGATAAAATAGGATTATCAAAAGTTCTATTATGTAAAAATGTGTGTCCCGGAGATGAATAAAGAATCATCATTGTTGTGTGTATATTGCAATGACGCGAGAAGAATAATTATCATGGAAAGTTTACAAATGTTATAATTTAAATATTAATTTATTATTATGAAACTTTTTTTCCACGTACTCACTCTTTTTTCAAAATAAAAATGTCTCTTCTTTTTACTATTCTTTTATTACATTTCATAATTTGTTTTTTGAATTTTGACTTTGAGGTTATAACTACGTGTAATAGTAATAGTAATTTATGGATCACGGAAAATCAATAAATGAAATGAATGTAATAAGCCAATAATAATGATAATAATAATAATAATAATAATAAAATAATTAACTCACGGAATTATCAAGAAAAGATTATTCTAACATTCTAAATTGTAACATTTCTTTAACTCTGGATTCAAAATCATTTGTTCACTTTAAAAAGAACTTGAATTATTCTTAAAAGAAAGGTCTTGTTTATTTTCAAGGAATACATTTAATTAGAACAGCGAACTAGATGATTGAACTTTTTTAGCGTGTATAAATAACGTTGTAATTTTCTTAACTTCATGTGTCGTCATAATAATCATCATATATAATATCACAACAAACTGTCATTATTCTTGTCCTTGTTGTTGTCTTCAAATTTATATTTTCGTAATGATAATAATCCTATATCCAACAATGAATTCATACTAATCCCGTGCATAATTAATTTTCTATTTGTCTCTATCTTTTTATTTCTTTTCTTTTCTTTAATGAGGTAATATTAATAAATTTTATTTTTGAAGTTTTGGAATATATATCTGACTTGGCAATACAGAGATTAACAACCGTTGATCAATATTGGCATGTAGAATGACTTTTACATGGCACATAAGACAGATATTGGTACATATTTTTTATAAGTTTTAATTTGAAGAAAACAAA